GGGTTGGGTCGGGTTGGATCGGGTTGGGTCGGGTTGGATCGGGTTGGGTCGGGTTGGATCGGGTTGGGTCGAGTTGGGTTGGATCGGGTTGGGTCCAGTTGGGTTGGGTCGGGTCGGGTTGGGTGTGGATGTGAGTGTGGGTGCGTGGGTGTGGTGTGAGTGTGGGGTGTGGGTGTCGGTGTGGGTGCCTGCGTGTGATGTGGGTGTGGGATGTGGGTGTGGGATGTAGGGGTCGGTGTGGGTCGGTGTGGGTGTGTGGTGTGGGTGTCGGTGCGGGTGCGGCTGTGGCTGTAGGTATGGGTATGGGTGTTGTAATTGTTAATGTCACAGCGATACCCACACACCCACATCCCTACCCTTCCACACCAATACCCACACCCTCCCACCCACTCGCACATCCCACACCCCACCCACACACCCAACCCAACTCAACCCAACCCGGCCCGACTCGACCCGACTCAGCCCAACCCAACCTAACCCAACCAAACCCAATCCGACCCAACCCAACCCAACCCAACCCAACCTGATCCAACCCAACCCAACCCGACCCAACCCAACCCGATCCAACTCAACTCAACCCGACCCAACCCAACCCGACCCGACCCAACCAAACTCAGCCCAACCCAACCCGATCCGATCCAACCCGACCCAACCCGACCCAACCCAATCCAACCCAACCCAACCCTAAATCAAACCATATATTATGTACATATAAAAATGCGTGCCATGATTCGATAAGAATATAAATAATAGAGATCTGTTATATACACATTTTTTTATGATATAGTATCAGAACAGTTATATATGATAATATATAATGAGCCTCTATATGTGAAAATTAGCTCGGGGCATTATCACATTAATACTGTACGTTGCAATCTCCTGCACTTTAGGTGTAGCCAATTTTGAATTTCCTGAAAAGCGGAATTTACCATGCCCTCTGTTATATATATATGCATATGTATATCCATTATTTTAAACCTGGTCGCTAAGGTCTGTAATGGGGGCCTGTCTGTAAGGGGAGGGGGAGCCGCGAAACCTCGAACTTAAAACTTACAAATCACTATTTTCTTCGAAAATATGCGTGAGTTCCACAAAAGTTTCTTGTCTCTAAATACTATGTAACATTCATGATCGTGAATTTAATCGCGGAATATTCGTGATCGTGACTGTAACCGCGATTATAATTGAAAAACCAAATTGTGATTGTGATTGTGAACCCTGTTTCCTTCATGATCGTGATAAAAAAAAATCAATCACGTAAGACACTACCAGTGGTTAATCGTTAGATTGATGTGTATTAGAAAACTCGGCATCTCTCTGGTAGCATATATAGTTTTAGAAGATATGACGAGTATCACAAAATTCAATTATCACTATAGTCTGCCATAAATAAGACAAGTAGAGAAAGCAAGATGACAGTTGCCACCACAAATTCTGCATACAATATAGAACAATGTCAATACTAAGTTTCGTGAATCTAATTTACTGAAAATGGTGCGTAAAATGTATGCAATCGACTTGATGAATAAAGAACAAGTTAAAGGAAAACTTAATTCGGGGCATAGTTTCTGGCGTAAGTAGTGAGGTTCTACTGACAATCCATGATACAAAAGTATTCTATCATTTATAGAGAGAATATAAGGATCAGCAAGCCTGAATATAAGGACATTTGACACTCTGAATAAAATCTATGGAATAACTTTTATTATTCAGAATTTTCATAACAGACTTCTAAAAAAACTCTCAGAAAGAGATCAAGAAGTTTTATCAATGTATCAGATTTTATATCTTTATCATACTGTCAGTAAACAAGGCACTAAAGAAATTCTAACTCTTCTTAAGAAACGAGGTATAGTAGAGCTAAATGATGAGTTAATCAGAAAATCAAAAATATCCCATTAAATGAAGTCAGGTTAATCGTGGTGAATTTAGCATGTATACAGACAAACTCGCACATTTTCTGAAGTCGTTGCATAGAAATATGTTGAAATTAAACATCAACGACTTGCCTGAAATAATGAATCAGTATCAAATACAATTACAGAGCAAATATTGAAAATTACACGGTCGCATTCTCTCTTACTGTGACGTAGTTATAATATGGATGAATTGACGAATGCTATTTCAGCGAGGGTACAGCATCATTTTATTATCGATGAAAAAAAACATATAGGTAGCCAAAGTCGAAAAAAGCAAAAAAAAGAATGGAAAAAAGGTAGTAACTGCAATACTGTTGCAAAACACATGTTAAATTTAATGCCAAATATTACACCATTGCGTAGAGTCAATTTGAATTTATCGATTATTTTCGACAATAAAAGCAAATGAGCATGGGATGATAGATCATAATAAAATCAAAAGAGTATTTCGCAAATACTAGAAAAGATAAACCGACAAGCATGTCTGATATGACGACATATGTTAGTGAACATCATTTAGATTTAATATTAGAAGATAATGTCAATTATCAATCTATAGAGAAAAATAATCAGGGATATAATGGCATAAAACACTTGTAACTCATTTTGAGAGATAAAACCATAATCGGTGTTTCAAGTGAAAAAAAATAATTATGATTACGATGTTATTGAGAGAATATTAAATGATCTAGGCATTGATAAATCTGTCGAGAGTCTTCGTAATCATAGAGGCCAATTAATAGAAAATCATTCTCGACACTTTTCGAAACTACTAAAAGTACAGCAATCGATAAAAATCTCATTATCTTCAACGTAACAACATGGATTTGTGTAAAAATACAAAATGCAAGAAGATGAACTTAAAAAAACAATAATGAAATGATGGATATGAAAAGAAAAGAAAGTGATGAAGTCGAAAAGAATTTGTTGAAATTGTTCTTTTAGAAAAAACTTGCCAATGAAAGATTCGAAGTTAAATCCGAGTATGGAGGGAGTGATAAAATTATAGTTGACACGGCAAAGCTAAGATTAGATGATTAACTTGCAGGAAACCCTTATCAGAATGTGAAGTACCCAGTACAACTTGGTATCATAACTCTACTTACAGAAAAGGTTTCTTACTTTTCTATTGACGTTTTCTGAAAGAAATCATAAAGCAGATTATATGAAACTACTGAGACGACCTTCAAATTTTTCTTAGTGAGAGTGGTAATGCTGTTTGGATCAGATTCACTGTAAACAAGTGTCGATTCAGATATCTTTTCATTCCACTGCAGTATCGACTCTTTTATTGTTAAATTTCTGCGAATAAAAGCTGTTACTCGTTTTCTGACTCTACAGATACATGATGATAGTAAGCGAAGCGTTTATGTTCAATCGATGACAAACAACTTTCACAATTGTTGACGAATGTTCTTCAATAACAATTCAAGTTGTTTGACATCTTTGTCAAGTAAATCGAGAAGACGATTGCGAGCTTTTTGTACTACACCATGCCACATTGCTGACAATGCCACAAAGCGAGTTTCAAATGCAATAATAACAATCGCTGAAATGAGAACTTGTTTATTATTGGATGATGGAAAGCTTGCCAATGGTTTCCCAGTCAAATGTTCGATATCTTTCGCATCCAAATCCCATAAACCATCAAACTTTTGTTTGTTAATCAAGTAGCGAACAATATTTTGATCGCCTGTAGGCCATGTTTTATCTTCTCCTTTATGAAACAAATCCGACAGATGTGAAGTAATACTAGAAACAATTCCGCTGCTAGTGCTCGACGATGATGCCCTATGCACTACATTGCCATCAAGACGTTCAAGATCATCATCAAATTGCTCTGAAATTGAAGCTCCTTGACGTATTGATGCCGAAGCACAATAATTCATCACATAGTTTCGAATCGAACCTGCCGTGCTAGACCGCATCTTTGTTTGTACTGGCATTCCATGAAATGACATCGCACTAGTTGACATCCTGTTCGCACAGAGACTCATAAAACGAGGTGTCTGTAAGTGTTGATCATCCTTTGATATTTGAATCGGTACTTCGCGCAAGACCATATCGACATTGCTGCCATTCACTCGTTTTTCGACACCGATAAAAGCAGTATGTGGACTCAGAATCTGATACTTGAGTGAAAGTTCAATAATAGATCTCTTTGTCACTTCTTTCTCGTCAATCGTCGTTGCTGGTATTGGTGATGGGCGATCATCTTGAAATCGACTTTGTAGTGAACCTGAATTTTTCTTCATAGCCGAGGAAGGTAATTTCGAATGTTGCAATTCGAGAATAAGTGCTTTAGCAGCAAGTCGAGCAATCGTTCCATTCATACTGACGTTTGGAATGCAATCAATTTTTGCATCGCCTAATCGACTTCTATCATTACATAATTCAACACTGGAATTGTGACCAAAAACAAACGTTGATTCATTGGCAACTGCATAGACAATCAGACGATCATTAGCATAAACTGGTGGTATTTTTGTTGGTGCACTCATCACATGAGCATCTAAATTCCATTTCACTTGTATATTAGTTATACAAGATTGCAGAGCTTTTTGTAATTGTTCACCAACATGAATATCGACACTAGTGTTAGGTGGAATAAAAACAAAACGTCCATTTGTTGTTCGAGCAAGTCCTTTGACAAGTGAACGACTTGGAGAATGACCCAAACCAAATGAAAAGATACGTGTAGAAGTAGCCATTGAACGACATAGATCGAGTACTTCGTTGACATTGGAAATTTCTCCATCTGTCAACAGAAATATTTGTCGCGCACGACCTTGTCCTGGAGGATGTTGTTCTATCCATTGAAGTGGTTTTAACTAAAATAGACACAAATAAACAATATTTTAAGATAAAATCGTTGAAACTCACCAATTCAGTACCACTCAAATCTGCTTGCAACTGATTGGTGAGCTGTTCAGCTTTTTGAGCATTTTGTTCATTGTAAATGGCAGTAATCTCATTGAATAATGCTTGATGAGTTGATCCGAATCGAATGATATTAAAGTGACAATTAAGTGGAAGGCTCTTGAGAAAGAGTAACATAGCTTCACGTGCCAATCCAATCTTATTTTCATCACTCATCGATCCACTACAGTCGATAACAAAAATAAACTCATTAGTCGTCTCTACATTGTTCATCACACGTTGACAATCTTCTGCATTTGGTGTAAATGAAGCCATAACAGCACCTGGTTCCACTGCAACAATGGTATTTGAACGATTGCTATTTAACTCAATATCTAGCAAGATATCTCGATCTAAATGTGTATTTTTTTGGGCAAATTCGATGACATAGACATTCTCTTGACCGAGTTGAATTTGGATAGGATGAGATGCCGAACTAACTCGAGAGATGTTAGTTTTCTCCACTTGGCAACGAAATTCAATTGTGTATGGAGCTGTTTGAACATATTTTGATGTTGTACCAGCCGGTGAACTGATACCACCTTTGTTTGGATTGTATCGAGGTGCAATAGTTGTTGGAACAACAAATCGAATACGACTTCCATTTTCAACAAGATCTAGCTCAGAGACATACGATATAGAGATATGACATTCTTTACCAGCTGGTAGTGCACCAACATTAATTATAAAATTATCTTGAGATTTTTCATCTTGTTCAAGTAAATATGCACCATGTCCTTGTTCAAGAGCATCGCTATATTCTTTTTGTGCTTCCTTTTTTTCTTTTAATTGTGCAATAATTTCTCGATCATCAATTCGAGCAATAAATGAATAGATGGCTGCTTGTTCTTCTATTGGAAAACAATACACTGCTTCAATTGGTTTTGTTTCATCATTTCGAAAAACTTGTTTGATGGTGGCATCTGCAGCAAATGATCTAATGTGTGCTTCGACACTGACTTGTTTTAAGGGCACATATTGTTGTTGTGGCTGTTGTGTAGAAAAGACAGAATCTTGCTTGATTCGAAGCATTGCGTAGAATAATAATTCTGCTGAAACTACTGACTTAAATAACCTACTGCTTTGCTATGTCAGATAACGAGCAAATATGTAGACAAGAACGAAGCATATGACTATGGGATTTATAGAGGAGGAAACATAGCTGACGGTATTCTGCATAGCACAAATGACGTCAGCGTAGTGAGTAGTGTGTCGATGAGAGTTGCTTCAAGGAAGAAAAAGTATGATAAATCTCTATGATTTGCGCACAAGGCTGATGATGACGAATAGTATTGTATGATGTTGTGCTAATATTTGAACATACGAGGGGAAGTGGAAGCATAGCGCAGGTGTTCACTATTTGAGCTAGCTGTTTTGTCGATGATTTATTTGTTCTTAGATAGAGCCCATAAATATGTGTAAAAAAAAATGTTTTTTTTTCTAGTATTTTTTGCGTTCTTAAATTTAAAAGAAAAAGTCAATATATGTAGGAAGCATTGTATGTCAACCAGGACCAGGCCCAGGAAAAAATAATCCAATCAAACTTATAGATTTAGCTGTTGTTTCTACAGTCAGTAGATGTATATGAGTTATAAACAAACTAAAATTTTTAGCTCTAACGGATATGTAAAGGTTGAAATTTCGATTTTGTTTTTCTCAGTTTTAATGTGTTCGTAGTTGGTGTTGTTCTTATGCAATAAAGAAGTATAGTGTAGTTTATGGAGTTGGTTATATATGGAGACCGAGATATTGCTGCAATGAATCCTACTTATATAAGGTGGTAGCTATTGAGAAATAGAAGTGATGGTTCATTTTATGCATACGTGACACTTGTCTTATCATATTTTTTTTTATAGTGCTATGACGTATGGTTTAGATTTTTCTTGTTTGCATATTTACTTATAGATATTAACTGTCATTAATTAATAGCAATTGAATTAGGGTATGGGGTGTGGATTGGTATCGGTGTGAATGTGGGTAGGCATGCACCAAAACCAATACTGGTTTTGAATTTTGGGTTTTGAGGTTTTGGTTTTGATAAGGTATTGGTTTTGATATAGTTTTGGTATCGATAGTTTTGGTTTTGTGGGTGTGGGTGTGTGTGGGGTGTGGAAGTGGGGTGGGTGTGGATGTGGATGTGGGTGTGGATGTGGGTGGGTGTGGGTAGATGTGGGTGTGGGGTGTGGGGTATGGGGTGTGGGTGTGCGCGTGAGCGTGGGTGAGGGTCAGTAAATAGAAGATGTCACCCTCATACCCGCACCCGCACCCCCATCCCCACCCACCCACCCACACCCACACCCACACCCACACCCACACCCACACCCACACCCACACCCACACCCACACCCACACCCTTCAAATCTTAATCTATTATTCGGTCAATCATCATATATGTCGAGCGAATCATTGAATACAAATATTGAAATCGATATTGCTATGGACGAAACATCAATCGACGAAGAACCAAACAATTTATTTGATGATGTTATTGACAATTGGTCAATTGGTGTTGTTGAAAATTTGGATTCATCTGCATTTGATACATTACGAGAAGATATTGCTACTTTGATGAAAAAATGCCGATCAATTATTAAACCTATTAATAAATCAACTATTTTAATGAATTATGTTGTTAATCTTAAACCACAATTTAAAATTTCTCATTGTCTTCAATTAGATTGTAAAAGTCAATGGAACTCATCTTATCCTTTAATTGAATCTATATTAATGTATAAAATGATCATTAACAAGTTTAATAGCGAAAAACATGATATTGGTCTTAATAAGAAACAAACGACAAAACTTTATTCAATTGAATTAGATCAATATGACTGGAAGCTTCTTGAATTATTAGAATATGTGTTGAAGCCAGTGGTAGAAGCAACACAACTTATTAGCGGTAGTCAGTATCCGACAATAGGTATTAGTTATTTTGTTATTGTTCAAATTCGAGATTTTATCGAAGATTCAATTGATGCTGATATTAATGATTGGAAAATTTTATGTGATTTGAAAATCATGTTACTGAAACAAGTTCAAAAATATTTTATTCAAAAAGATGAACAATGGGAATTGATGAAAGTAAGTAATTTTTATATTTATATATATTCATCTGAAAATGATTTGTATTGCATATTAAGAATTATTCGTATTTCGATCCTGTTGGATATGGTTATTTAACACGACGTGAACGACGAGCAATTGAACAATATATTAATGAATTACATGAACAGTATGATATTGAAGAAACAATTGATCAACAAGAAGTTAATCAAATACAGTTCAAGATGAATATGAAAGAAAAATCTAAACAATCAAAGTCTTCGTCCATGGCAAAATTTCTTAATTCTATTGGTAAAAAAAATACATCTTCACAATTAATTGCTACAACAGCTATTAAGAAAAAATTAGCTGAAGAAATGGCTGCATATAGGTCATTAGCTCAACGAGAATATAATTCTATTATTGCTGATGAGAAAGATCCAGATGTTGTAAGTATTCTATAATTAATATTAGTGTTTTCTTTCACAACTGATTTTTTCGATTTTGTAGCTGCAATTTTTGGCAATTACATCGAATTGAATTATATTATTTATATAAATATGCTAGTTATCATCTTATAAGTCCAGCAACTTCTGTTGCATCAGAAAGTGCATTTAGTACAGCTTCATATTTATTACGAAAACAAAGATCTCGTTTAACACCCGAAAATTTATCTTACTCAATGTTTCTTAAAGACAAACTTAGTGATGAATTTAGTATATAAGATACATTTGTCAGATTGTTATAGGAAGAACTTAAATAAGATCATTATGATAAAATACGCAGAACAAATACTAATCATGCAAAACAATCCAAACTTTTCTATTTCAATTGCAGCTCTAACAAGATCAATATAGTATTTAATAGCATTTTAAAAAAACACTTTTATGCTATGGCATGATAGTGTGTTATGATTATATTCCTGTTAGAACTCATACAGTCAATCTAATTAATAAATGAGTATTCAAACTGATCATGTAAGTGGCAGACGAAATTATATATATAGGAAGAGATTTCATATACAACAACTTTTAATGCTATTAATAACTGTAAGGAAAGATTTATTTAAAAAAAACAGCAATATCTTATGCAGTTTAACAAGCGATTCACAATAACTTATTTGACCGTACGTTTGATATACTTAACTAGTTCATAATAAGTTCAATTACAAGATCACTTGGATAAAAAAGGTTAAATATCTTTAACAGAAGTTTATACAAGCACAGATACTACAGATACTTAGCTGCAGGAAGACATCTATTCAAAACGAAGAATTTTTTAGACTGATATCAATCTATTGCACTTTCTAGAAACTATTATAAACTGAAACGTGTACTTCTCACTTAATTTGTTAGAAATATATTGTTTACAGCGTGTTGGGAATGTTAAGATGTGCAAATATTTCATGAAAAGCATTTTTTTCACTATCAACTTATAATTTCTACTAGATATCTGTTTTTTACAGATCCGTAATATTGTTTTAAAAGTGCATCTCAAGAGAACAAATATACTTAAGTTTATAGAAAAGCATTATAGATCTGTTTTATAAAAATTAATTTTTTTCATGAGTACCTCCAAACCAAAACCAAAACAAAACTCAAAACTCGGTCAAAACCAATACCTTCAATACCAAAACCATACCAAAACCAATACCTCAAAACCAAGCGGTTTGGCTTTGGTGCATGCCTAAATGTGGGTATGGGGTGTGGGTGGGTGGGTGTAGGTTGACATAATATTACCTCCCAAACCCACCCACACCAACACTCAACTTTCAAGCTTGACACTATTGATTACTAATGACACGAGTGTTGCCTTCTTTGTCTAAATTGATTACATTATTTTTCAGCTGTAGCTTTAAGTATGTGTCTATATCTCCTATTATCGACTATCCAAGTATCGTTAAATTTAACTATCAATTAGTTTTTTGACAGTATTGTTCTTTTGTAAGTACATACAATGGATGTTGTAAGCCAGTGGGTGGATAATATTCATGATGTCTATACTGAAATCGGAGTTGTGCAATAAGTTGACAAGAAGCAACATTGTTTGGGTGATGACCGGCAAAAATTTTATTCACATTTAGATGACAGAATGCATATGATATTGCAGCATCTGCAGCTTCCCGAGCAAATCCTTGTCTCCAAAATTGTGGTAGAATATGGAAACCAATTTCAACTGTATTCTTCTCTTTGTCATATGGGCGAAAACCACAACATCCGATATGTTCTCCAGTTTCCAAAACAAATATAGGCCAATATTGAAAACTGTACTCTTTCATATTTTTGATTTCATATAAAAAACGTTCTTGTATTTTTTCAATTGTGAATGGACCACCAATTAACTTTGTAACAGCATTGTTGCCCCAGAGATTTAAAGCTAATTGAAAGTCATCTTCTGTCCATGAACGAAAACCAATCCGTTTAGTTCGCAAAAAATATATGGAATCTTGTAAGGATTGTGCCGAGTCCATTTGTCAGGTGAAATAAACTATGGAACAACAAAAAATTGAAAATATAACTTTCGATTCGATACATGACTAAGAATTAGCTCATTAACATGCATACGATAACATGTCAGCTTAAAAGTCGTTCCTATATATGTCCGAATAGTAAACAATGTAATGGCATGGGTTTCAGAGAAACACTAGTTCTTAAAAATGCGCCAGACTGTATGTTTCGCGCTATTATTGTTAATCATCCGTAAAAAACTTAACTATAGAAAACTAATTTTGAAATAAAACATGTTCATTTATTACAAACTGCAAATAAAACCAGTTTTAGGTGAATAAATGAGAATGTATTTCTCTTAGCTAAATCTGGTCTTGTTTAAAAACAAAACTTTTGTGTCGCTCACCTCTACGCTTGTAGTAAAGTTAGAAAAGTCAAACTTTTTTTATTTGTTAAACTGTGGATGTAAGTAACAGTAACGCAAACAAGTTTTTCTTTAACTGGCTATTTTTTTGCTTATATTCTCGCTTGCAAATACGTACAGAAAAGCATTTCTTCAGCATCATAACAACTGATATCTCTCAATTTCTTCTCCTACTCTGCCCTCTTGTATTTTTCTATATGTTTCTTTTATTATTTGCTTCTTTTTTTTTGTTTTTTACTTCGTATCTACATGTGTGTGTTGTGCGATAGAGCCTTATCTTTATCGACTATGAATAATTGAGTGCTTAAAACTGTAAACATATTTAAGAGCAAGAATGATGAATAAGTTTCTAGTGTATATTTCTTAAACTATTTGTGGTTTAAAGTGAAGCAAAGTGAGATGAATGTGGGTGTGGGTATGGGTGGATGTGATGTGAGTTGGGTGTATTTTTTTCCATCTGCAAACGCACACCCACATATATTTTAAGCAATTTCTGTCATATTTTTTCTTCTGACTGTTCCAGTCAAACCAGATGTCGTCAACCGTAGTATCTTTAGCATTGATGAACGTTTCTTGCTATTCTTTTATTCACCCGATCACGCACTATATAACTTCGTCGGCCGGCATCACTTCGACATGACATATATAACTAATGTAGAAAAAGAAATAATTTTTGTTTTCGATTTTAAATAAAATGTTGACGAAAATGAAATATTCATTAAATGCTTCCAATATCTCAATGCCCGAGATATATTCAATTCATTAATCGATTGAATTATCGTTTTCATACATTCATTCGAAATGTTCCATTACATCTAAATTTCTACCATTTTAAAAATTCTTTATCCAATGAATTTTGTCAAACAATATTTTCAAATCCAGAAATCAAACAAAAAATAACTTCTGTAGAGTTAAAGAATGTAGGCACCTCTGAACAAATTCAACCATTTATCCCATTATTTCAATTAAATGAATTTATTCATCTTCGGTTATTATTATTAATTGACTTAAAAGGTGATAATGCTGAACAAGTACTATCAATGTTACCATTTTTATCTGATTTAGACTGTTTTGTTTTGTACCAGTCTGCAGTACAGAACTTCGAAACTAATACCTACCTTGTTAGAATCGACATATGAGTATTAGTAGAATGACACTTCAAATTTAACTTGGCATCTATTTATGAAATAAATTCAGTTACACCATTATCGATTTGTAATTGTGATTTATCTGACTTATGTCAATTATTCAAATACAACACCGATGTTAAAATATTAAAAATATGGATACTTCTATGATAGTTAGATTATGGACGATGCATTGAATTTTTAATAATACAAATAGTGTTTATTTAGAACAATTAATTATGGATTACTCGTTAGCTAAGTTTCAAGTTCTTGAACTGTTATTAAAGCATATGCCAAATTTGGAAATCCTTTCAATATCTGTTTCGTATGAAATGGAAATCGTTGACGCTGATCGTTGGCAACATCTGATGAAAACTTCACTCGAACTTTTACATGTATTTAAGTTCATTTTCGGTTATTGTGTTACTAATTACTATTACGACAAGTTGATCAAGCTTCAAAAATTTCAAACTAATTTCTGAAATAAGCAACATCATTAGCATACTTATTATGAAATCAGTAGGTTGTTAGTATCAATTTATACAATGCCATACATAGGGAATGAATATAGATTAATACGTACTATGAATAGATACATTAATTCATTGACGAGTTATTCAAATGGATTTGATAATGTTAAAGGTTGGAACTCCATGAACAAGAACAATTAGAAATGATTCATCATATTATTTTAGAAATGTACAATCATAAACATTAATAAGTGAACTTGTTCATGATTATGATTAGGATGATGATGATGATGAAACAGACAACTGCAGAGCGTCAGTAAGACAAATCAAATTTTTTAATATGATTGTCAATTTATCAAGTATCGAACAATTAATAATCGAAGATGAATGTTACATGACATCATCCTTATTATTAAAAATACTTAAAAAATCACCAAATGTATCTTCATTAACGATTGATAAATCGACTTTGATATTATTTCTCGAAAATCACCTATTATGTGAATCTTTAAATAAAAAGATCATTACATTAGCTATTTCTAGTGATCGTCAATATATATATATTAGATTTAACGACATAGATTCGTTCTGTAGAATGTCTTCAAATCTTCAACGCTGTCCACGTAATATCAAAAGGCTTGATGATTCGTTATTAATATTGGCAAAATGTTCAGAATTAAAAATGATAAACCTCAGAAAAATAGTCAACAGATATAATCATGGATCCAAATCAATGCGTCGACATTAAATGTTTACCTTGATTTTACATCGATTGATTAAGGTGACGATGACGATGACGATGACGATATGTAACTAGTTTATCGTATCTATATTTCTTTTGCTATTAATCGTTTATATATATATATATTGGCGACTATGAATATTTGTATTATTCATTTTCTCATCAATATACTAGAGAACTCCTTTGTATTTGTTGATTAAAGAAAGTTGTCAACAATTGTGATTCTAAGTTGTTTTAGTGTAAAAATAAACGTAGTGTATCCGCAAACCGTCTTTTTTGGGTATAAACGATGATCACTCAGTTTTATATACTAATTCTAGTTTTGTAAACAATATAGAATAGTGTACTAGATTGATACAAACTATTCTTCGGCTTCAAATAATAATGATTTCAATAGATGCACAGCTGTGTATACAACATTTATTTTATTCTATACTAAAAGAGGGTGTGAATGACGAGAAGATCCACACCTACACCCACATGGTTATTGCCATAGTTAGAGATATTTATTTCACCAAATGGCCATGTTATAATTCGTTGAATATCACTATGTTTCGTGATATGTTTACTGATTGATCCAAAAAATACCATTGATCAATCATCTAAGACGGCTGTCACTTTTCATTTACTGTAAGACGACATAGGCTACACCTAGGTTTTAAAAACTCATCTGTTATCGTTCCATTGTAACGATTAGAGGGTCGATTGACGATGGACCGAATGAATCAGTTTCCGTGGAAAATGCCTCGTTAAACTCATTTTGAACTTCGAATTGATGAAATATTGCATTCTTTTTCTTTATTCAAAATTTAACTCCAAGCCAAATCATGATCTAATTTACTTCTTTCCGATATTTGTCACGAGTTCTATTAAAAACGGCAAGTTTTCTATTGCATTATTATACCAGTATCGTGTGAGTTAAAAATTAGGAAGATCACTCTTTGCTAAAAGTTCTGCTTTACAACGGATAGCAACTCGATTCTAGCATAAGATCAGAAAATCGTCCAATTAAAAATAGATCATCAATATTTCTATTTTCATGATGACTACAAGTGATGAGAGCATTCTTAAAAATACTTGTAATCCCCGTTCAAATTTGATTCGAGAACAATGAAAATTGAAACAATAATGCCTTCTTTGATAAGAATTCCATACAAAAGAGTTACAGCATCGTCCTGAAGACAAACGTGTGCTTTTTCATAATTGAAAATTCCTTTCTCATCATCAATGTCGTTCTTACATCCATCCTACACATTTATAATAAACTCTAAAACGTTGCAAGTATAATTATTTTTGTTGGTCAAGATTTGTTATTTCGATAAAAGTTAAACTTACTAGGATTAACAATAACGACTACTTCTTGATTGCGACGACTTTTTTCTATCAATTAAGAAAAAATGTCCACAAAGAAGAATAAGAGTAGACGTAAAGAAGACCGCAGATTATGGAAAACTCACAGTATACAATTAAGAAATTAGTTTATTATATAAAAAACGAAACATCATGAATGAAAGAAAAATGAATATTTAGCTTTGTTTAGAGTGTAAGAGTAGGTGGTCTTGAAAATCAAATGTTCAAAAATATAATGAGACTCTTGCATCTATTCACAGAAAATATGTGAATGATTTGTTTCCATAATAAAATTACTCTATCATGATATGATGACCTATCAAAATAGTATTGATGTCTATTAGACGTCATGTCAGTGAATAATTGACTTTCTAGTTACAATAATTATCACAGAAAATGTCTTCTTGAATTTCAAAAAATTGAATATTTAATTATGTGTAAGAAAGCAAAGAGCTGAAGCGTGTTAAATCTCGTTGAAAAATACAAATTAGCGAATTAATGATTAACAGAGTGAAGCCAGCTTGAGAAAATAGAACAAACATTCATACTTTAACTTGAGCTTTTGGATTCTAACCCAAATATTAAAATAATTTTAGCAGATGTATTTTACATAATCGAATGCTAAACTAATTAGTTTCAGACAAAAGAATAACAAAAACGATGTGATAAAATTATTTTCAAGTGATTTTCAATAAAGCAATTTCTTATTAATGATGACAATTGAATTCGATAGATTTTGCATAATAATATAGATATTACTTTTTTAAATATGTCCTCAACCTTTGTCCAACTTTAGATATTGAAAAAACATAAAAATTGAAATGGAATAGAAATTCATAAACCATCATATAGATAATCAAACTTACTGATAATATTTAACTAATACTATTTGCTTCTCTTTTAATCACGT